GATTTCTTCCAACAACCGGTTCTCTGAACTGCTTAGAAAGTTAACAACCGGTTCTCCCGAATAGGTGCGAACTGGCTGAATCCCACCACTGCCTGGCTACAACCACCCAGTCCCCCCCAAGGTCAAACACACCTCTGATGCGGCCTTCAATGAAATTGAGTTTGACAGCCCTGCACTAGATCAGCAGTCTCCAACTTTGGCCACTTAAGAGATCTTTGGGCTCTCCCACTCAGATTTCGCCAAAGATCATTTCTGTGATCCACACTCACCTTTGAACCAGCTGCACAATACTCTGAGTGTTCATGAAGAAAACCTCACGCTCCGATTTGCGGTTTAAGGTGGCTGCATGGCTGTCCAGGATGTTGGCAATCTACAGGTAAGAAAAGACGCAAACTGGAATTGACACCCTCAAAGTTTTGGGCTTGACCGAAAAGGAGGGATGGGGGGAATGGACACACACCAGACAGATTCCGACACCTCATACCAAAATTTAGGCAAACGTGGCTTTCTTTTTTTTTTTTTTTTAGAAAGAGCAAACTTCTCACTAAGTTGCAAAAATAGGCTGGCCTAATTTCTAAAATTAAGCTCATAGACAGAGAAGATTTTGAGGAGAAAAAGTTTTGCTACCCTGTTTCCCTGAAAATAAGACCTCTGCAGATAATAAGCCCAATTGGGCTTTTGAGCGCAGCAGCCATGAGGTGACTCCATCTAGCCACCTCCTGCACCTCAATAATAATAAGTTGTTAGTTGTCAGTTGCGAAGTCGTGTCTGACCCATCGTGACCTTATGGACAAGATTCCTCCAAGCCTTCCTGTCCTCTACCATCCTCTGGAGTCCATTTAAGCTCCCGCCGACTGCTTCGGTGACTCCATCCAGCCACCTCCTTCTCTGTCGTCCCCTTCTTCTTCTGCCCTCCATTTTTCCCAGCATCAGGCTCTTCTCCAGGGAGTCCTTCCTCAAAAATAATACGATCTCCCCGAAGATAAGGCCAAGCGCTTATTTTTTTTTTTTTTGGGGGGGGGGGTCAAAAGAAAATATGACTCTGTCTTATTTTGGGGAAAACATGGTAGATTCCTTTTGACCTGCTTATAGGTACAGGTAGTCCTCGACTAACAACAGTTCATTTAGTGACTGTTCAAAGTTATAACGGCACTGAAAAAAGCGACTTTCGACCATTGAAGAGTCCCGGGGCCATGTGACCACTATTTATGACCTTCTAGCAAGCAAAGCCAGATTCACTTAACCACTGAACCACTTCACTTACTAACTGAACCACTTGACAACTGTGGCAAGAAAGGTCATAAAATGGGACAAAACACACTTAACTGTCTCACTTAACAACAGAAATTTGGGGCTTAATTCTGGTCATAAAGTGAGGACTGCCTGTAGTCCTTGTTTATCAACACAATCGAGACAGGTGTCTCGACTGATAAGCAAAGTGGTTGGTAAGTCAAACTGCAACTATGTGTTGTGGTCCATCAGTGGCCAGAAGAGCTGGCAGCAGAGTCGGACAGTGAGGAGGTGAGGAGGAGCATGGGCCAGTCCTGGAGGCTCGAACAAGGGCTCTGCGTCAGAGGCAGAGACAGGGCTGAGGCTGTCTGGCAGTGATCAGGTGCCTACGGAACTAGACAACAATGAGGCAGAGGAACAGCAGGAGCCTGTTCCCAGTGTGCGCATACACAGAGCTCCCAGAAGAAAAGAACAACTCATAAATCAGGGTAAACTTGGGAGTAAAGTCACAGGTGGATGGTGAATAGCTTCTTCCATAGAACATAAAAGAGGAGCAAAAGGGGAGTGGGCTTTTGCAGGAAACAATTCGTTCGTTAGATTCATTTCAGGAGTGTGAAGATCTGTCCAGTAAATCTCAGAGACTCTGTGCCAAGTCTTTCCTTGCACAGCACCTCATCTGGAAAACATTTACATGGCAGCTTTCCAAGATAGATAAGGTCTGTGGTCATAAATATTCCTTTGAAAGACTGTTTTCCAGTCCTTTGCTGAATGTGAATGAGAGGAATTCACATTTGCTTAATAAACGGGGTTTTGTCGGAACCAGGACTCTGCCTCGTGCTTTATGGGGAAGCCTCGGTCAGAACACTGATCTGATTTCAGATTTCCTTGGCACCGCTTGGCAAACCTGCTAGGCTCGCTAAATGAGGCAGTCACTAAACAAGGACTAGCTATTCTGGTAGTCCTCCTTTACTGACAGTAATGAAGACTGGAAACGCCAGCACTAAGCAACATGGGAGTTTACTTCCATTTTCAAGCAAAAAAAACCCTCTCCAAAGCAACAATGGATTCACGTAATGTCTACTGCATTTGTTTATCAACGGTCGCAAAAAAAGATTGCAAAATCAGGCGGTCACCTAGTGACCCACTTTATGACTATCACAATTTACAATCTAAAATTGAGGGCACAATTACAGTTATAACTTGAGGACTACCTTTCTAGGACTACCCAGAAATTCCTCAAGTTTCTTTCATGGTGAGTCTGTTAAGATGGGAGTCTCTGAATAATCTGAAATGTTTCTTCCCAAATTTCTTGCAACCCAGACTGAACTGCTGAGACTAGCGGCCAACAACCTCACCTTCTTACCCTTCCTTGTTCAGGATTGTTCTCCCTTCCGTTCCTTCTCCCGGAATGGGACAATTAACTGCGGCCAACTCGTCACAGCCAACTTGCAGTGGGACGATTCAATTTGATTATTTAAAACTAACTGAATACTGATACTTTGCTACGAAACTATGTGATCGGGCTTGATAAATTGACACTTAAAGCTTGAAAATGAATGAGAAAATAATGGAAAGTTAACTGGCAGTTGGAACAGAGTTCTTTTCAGGTGGGGGGGAGGGGTAGAATGTCTAAACTTCCAGCTCGCAGCCCGGATAAGTCATGCGCTGGCCACGCCCACGGCCAGTCTAGCGAAGGGGTAGAGCATGTTAATAATAGGCAACTGGCAGTTGGAACAGAGTTCCTTTCAGGTGGGGAGAGGGAGTAGAATGTCTAACTCCTTAGCATCAGAGCGTGTTAATATGAGGCAACTGGTTGTTGGAACAGAGTTCCTTTCGGGTGGGGAGGGGGAGTAGAATGTCTAACTCCTTAGCATCAGAGTGTGTTAATATAATAATGTATAAGAAATACTGGTGATCTGATGGTCATTTCAAAAATTCCTTTCTTAGTGAGCACCTAGAAGCCAAGAGCAAACATACGTGCCGAATTTCAAGTTTGTAGGTTTTACAATTCTGGAGATTTCATGATGAATGAGTGATATTTGGCTTTTAGATAGATAGATAGATAGATAGATAGATAGATAGATAGATAGATAGATAGATAGATATAGACAGACAGATAGACAGAGATAGAGATAGAGATAGAGATAGAGATAAAGAGATAGATAGAGATAGAGATAGAGACAGACATAGAGATAGAGATAGATATAGATAAGTGCATTTTAATTTTTGGCATTCACATTTCATTCTGTCCCTCCTTTTGCATCCTTTCTTTAATGATTCTATTCCAACATGTTTTGATATTAGTGTTTGATTGTCCAGCGGTGAGTTGTCCCGCACTGAATTGGCAACACGAGTTGGCCCGCAGCAAGTTGTCCTATCCAGAGCCTCCTTCTTCCCCCTCCTCCCCATCTCTGACAATCAAGGATATTCTTCTTCCATATAACCTCTCTCAAGTCAATTTCATCTCCATTTCAACCCAGATCACAGGCAAAACTTTCCTTACCTGCTGGCTGGGAAACTGGCAGAGGACAGATGTGATGTTACTTGCATACTGTGCTATTTCTTTTTTGATGGATTTTTCCACGTTGGGAGGGATCCGTCCGGAGACGCTGGTCATGATATCCTGGAGCTCCAATAGAGGCAAGGATGGATCCCGGAGAGTCTTCATTAACCGTTCAACCCAGTTCTTCACCTGAGTTAGAGATGGAGTTGAAAAGTAAGCCAAAACAACAGGTACATAAGTTTGTTTTCTAGAAGGAGGGAGGGAGGGAGGATGGGTGAAAGAAGCAAAGGGAGGGAGAGAGGGAGAAA